GCTGGGTGGCCAACAAACTGTTGCGCCGCCTTTTCCGCCAACCGCCGGTGCTCCTGCTCCACTTTGTGCCGCCACCTGACTTTCTGGCGTCGGATGGGGTTCATCCGTCCGCGGCCGGGTGGCGCACCCTGGAGAGCGTGCTACAGGAGGCTATGGACGCCTCCTCCGGGATTTAGCGTGTACCGGGTCGCTCCCGTGCTGTGTCGTGTGTGTCCCCCCCCTCCTAACCGGCTGGCCGTTTAAATACACATTCCCGCTAACATCGTCGTCTATTTTCATGCGTTCGGAGCTGCTATGCCACGGGCCAAGTCGTCGGCGGGCCGTGCCCCGGCACGCCCCCTGCCAGCGCCACGGACGGACGCGCCGCGACGCGCCACTACGAGACGCTCCGCGGCGGCCGCGGCCGCGTCTGGCGCTGGTGCCACGAGCCGCCGCACGCCCGCTGCTGCGGCGAGGCGACAGGCCGCAGTGATGGCCACCACTCCGCCCAATCCAGGGCGGGGCCATGCTGCTACAACGTCGGCCGCCGCCGCCTCGCCCCCTGACGCCGCGGTCATCGACCCCGCCGCTCTTCAAACAATGGTGGGCGACATGGTCCGGGCCGCCGTCGCCGCCGCTCTACCTGCCAGCGAGCCATCACCGCCGGCGACGGTCGCCGTGCAGCGCGGTCCGGCACAGCGTCTCCAGGATGGGCCAGCTGCCCATCTGACGTCCGCCGACCACGCCTACACGCCGGCTGCCGAACTGCAAGCCGGGCCAATGGCGCTCCCGGCGGTTCTCTCCGGCGCCCTTCCGACCGCCGCCGGCCCTGCTCCACCTGCGCACCTGCCAGCGGCGCAGTTGCCCGTCGCCGGCCGTCCGCCGGCACCGGTGGAAAATGCCGCAGGTGACGACCTAGCGGCCCGCGCTGCCGTATCCCCCGCGGTGGCGGCCCTCATCGTGTCCCATCAATTCATTGACCTAAACACTCTCCTCAACGACTCTATCCCCCCGGCAGAACCAGGGCTGTTTTGCCTTATCGACGGCCGTCTCCGTCCCTCGGTACAGCGCCGCCCAATCCCGCATTTCGGCGCCTGGGCCACCGCGTTTCTTCGATACGCGGCCGTGTACTTGGCTGCCCACCCCGCTGACGCCTCCGGTCTGTTGCGCCACATGCAACAAGTGTCCTCGCTGCAGGCGCCCGGCCTTGGATTCGCGTGGCGCGATTTCGATGAGGCCTTTCGGCGCGCACGGGGCCTCTGCCCGGAAGCTCACCCATGGGGCTCCACGGCGGCCACGTCTCCCATTTGGCTCACCGCAATCGCTCGCGGAATCGCCGGTTCTCGGGCCGGGTCTGCAGCCGGTGTAAGCGGCGAGGGTCGGGGCGGCTCTAGCCGGCCGGCCGCCGCGTCTGGCTCTTTTCGCGCGCTCTGCCTCGGCTACAATCGCGCCGCCGGGTGCCGCCGGTCCCCGTGCCTGTTCCGGCACGAGTGCCGCCTCTGCCGTGGCCCCCATAGCGTGCTCGCCTGCCCTCGCCGCGCCGCCCCGGCCCTCCCCGGCACCCGCCGCCCCGGCCGCGAATGACTCCCTCACTCCGCCGGTATCAGTCCCGCCCGACCACCTCGCGCTGCTCCTGACAGGTTACGACCCCGCCCTGGCCGCGCAGCTAGTGCACGGTTTTCGCTACGGCTTCCCGCTCGGCAGCGCCGAGGTCCCCTCTGGTGACTCGGGCGGCAACCTTCCATCCTGCTCTCTGGCGCCGGAAGTCGTGGACGCATATGTCGCGGCTGAGACGCGCGCGGGTCGGATAGCCGGTCCTTTCTGTCCCGCGCCGCCATGGATCGTCCGTTTTTCTCCCATTGGTCTAATCCCCAAAAAGTCTCCGGGCTCGTTTCGGGTCATTCACCACCTGTCATTTCCCACCGGCGCTTCCGTCAACGATTTCATTCCCCGGGAGCGCACATATGTTCAATACGGGTCGGTGGACGAGGCTCTTCGCCTGATTGGGTCCTTCCAACGCCCCTACCTCGCCAAAACCGATATTGAGAGTATCTGCGGCGAGGACTGGCTCCTGGGGCCGTGGCCCGCGTCCCTCCGCGAGGCCCCTATCAGCGTTTTGGAACTAGTGGCTGTCGCTGTAGCCGTGCACGTGTGGCGAGATCGGTTCGCGCATCGCTGCGTCCTTGTGCGCTCAGATAACTCCGCTGTGGTGGCCTGTATAACCTCTCAGTCATCTCGCTCGCCTGCCCTAATGCCATGGCTCCGATTCCTTTTTCTCACCACCGTCTCTCATAACATTCTCGTGCGTGCCGTGCACACACCCGGCATCGCCAATGCAGCAGCTGACGCCCTGTCCCGCGGTCTTGTGCAGGTCTTCAAGGAGCTCCGCCCGTCCGCAGCAGCCACGCCGACGTCCTGGGACTGGCCGGCCTGCGGCACGCTCTCACCGTTCACCAGCTAGCTGGTGCCGCGCTAGCTCCTGCCACCATTCGCTCTTATCGAGCAGTGTGGGGCCAAATCCGCGTTTTCCTCACTCTGCCGCCCACTGCTGCCCTGTTTCCCATCTCAGTGGCCGACACTGCTGATTTCCTGGCCTCTCGACACGAGCAGGGCTGTTCCGCTTCCACCCTCGCCGCCGAGGCGTCTGCCATCTCCTACGGCCACAAGCTAGCCGGCGCGCCGGATCCCACGGCGGACTTCCGGGTGCGACAGCTGTTAGCGGGATCCCGCCGGCTACGGCCGAGTGCGGACAACCGCCTCGCCGTCTCCCTGACCGAGCTCGGCGAGCTCTGCGCCGCACTCCATTTCCTAGGCCTCTCCCCGGTAGACCGTGCTGCATTCCGTGCCATCTTTACATTGGCTTTCTTTGCTATGCTTCGCCCGGGCGAGGTCGTGCGCGGCCGAGACCTGACCCACACAGTCCGACTCAGCCACGTGAGTCTCGTCGGCCCCCAGCTTTCTCTCACCATTCCATCCTCAAAAACGTCGGCCTCCCCGTTCACCACCACGCTTCGAGCCCGGCCTGATCTTGCCACGTGTCCGGTCGCCGCTGTCCGCGACTACCTCGCGGTCCGCGGCACGGGCCTTCCTGATGACGCACTGTTTATCGGCGGCCATCGCCGCCCTCTGACATCGCGCGATCTCACTCGCGTACTTCGCATGGCGGGCCGTCGAGCTGGTCTCAACCCAGCCCGCCTCTCCGGGCACTGCCTTCGCATCAGCGGCGCCTCCCACGGCGCCGCAGTCGGACTAACGGAGCCTCAACTCTGCCACGCCGGCCGCTGGTCGTCCCAGGCCGTGCGGCGATACGTACGGCGGCCGGTCTCCCTCCTTCAGGCATCCTAAGCGGCGGGTCCCGTCCAAAGAGGGTTAACGTTGCCGGCCTTCCACCGCTACCGCTCCCAAACCCGAGCCACAGCTGCCCGTTCTAGGTCTGGGTGCACGGGCCGCGCCCTAGCAGGCGTAGCGGCAGTCCCGACGCTGCCTGTTCAGGCCCGGGCTCCCAAACCGCCGCCCTCGCAGGCGGAGCGGCGGCGTCCTTGGCCACCTGCCTGTTTTCGGTCCGGGATCCCGGACCGCCGCCTTCACGGGCGAGCGGCAGTCTTGTCAGCTGCCTGTTTTAGGTCCGGGCCCCCGGACCCCCGCCTCACGGGCGGAGCGGTAGTCTGTCAGCTGCCTGTTTCAGGTCCGGGCTCTGGGACCGCCGCCCTCGCCGGCGGAGCGGCAGTCCCAACTCCCGACGGCTGCGCGCCACAGTGATGTATCTGTATATATGTAACGTCGGGCTCGCGTGTTCATTGTTGGTTTAGCTCGCCCGCACAGCCATAACCCAGATGCAACTGCAGTTTCTACGCCACAGCCGCACCGCCGACGGTGCCATGTTTGTGCGTCGCGTGAGGTGAATTACGCCGTGCGCGGCATGTCATGTCCTCTGCCGTCGCGTTATCGCCACGTCTGTTAATCCAGAGGCATCCATCGTTTTCCATTAGCTTTCTGCCGCCCTGGCAATTTTGTTCATAGCGAATGCCTCTCCGTTCCGCGCGGGTGCAGATGGGGTGTTGGGCGTAATCTGCACCCAAAGTGCATGACGGGTGTACAAACGTACGAATACACAGACCCATATTCATCAGTCATGCATTTGCAAGCGCAGCGGAACGGAGAAATGCATTTGACGAGCGACACCTACGGGGTCGTGCGGCAAAAACTTTCTCTGTCCGCGGGCGCCACTGCAGCGACACCTGCCGTGTGGCTCCAACACTATTGGCTCAGTCTGTGCGCCCACGCCGTGCCGCGAACACTGATCCTACACATTGTTCAGCGTTCTTGTCTTTCCGATTGTCCACCGCCACCCCGCCGCCGCCTGTGGTACTGTGTTTCCATGCATTGCTGGCTGTGTAAGCGTAATCTGCACCCAAAGTGCATGACGGGTGTACAAACGTACGAATACACAGACCCATATTCATCAGTCATGCATTTGCAAGCGCAGCGGAACGGAGAAATAAATTTGTACTGCACGACGACGGAGCCAGTGCCGAGTGGGAAATCAGACAGGCGTTAAAGAGGAGGCGATACACCTGCCCACCCGGTGTCGTCCTCCGAGGCGGACGATTACACACCGCTAACTGCCACCCGTCACTCACACGGCACATGTGCACCGCAAAGCCGCCCAGCAGCACCGCTACAATGACATACATTAATGTGCAATCATCATTGTGGGTGCGCTAGGTAGCCGAAAAAGTCAGCGCCCACGAATATTTTAGGGGAAATATTAATTGCAAGCACACAGCCGGACGCAAATTCTTTTTATGTTACTTATCTACAGGACGTGAGGTCAGAATGTAGACATAGCTTTCAATAAATAGGCAACCAACATCAAACGTGATTGGTTTCACAAATCACAGTCCGAATTCCCCACTGGTACGACCTGCTGCTCGCTCGGCCCTGCCACGGCACCCGACGATCTGTCCCGTCAGCGCCTATAGCGCGTGCATCCGTCTGGTATGACCCCCTGCTCGCCAGCCCTACCACACCCCACGGACCGTCCCGCTGGCTGTCTGTCGACGGTACGGGTCACCCACCTTGTTGAGCGTGCTGCAGATACTGTAGTAGCGGCCCTTGAGGTCCTCCACCGATCGGTCGGCGTACTTGGCCCGGTCCCAGCGGTCCTGCATCACGATAAACCTGACGACACGCACACGAAGAATGGGGGGTTAACGGTCGGCGTACTTGGCCCGGTCCCAGCGGTCCTGCATCACAATAAACCTGCAGGCACACACAGAGGGGAATGGGGGTCAACGGTCGGCGTACTTGGCCCGGTCCCAGCGGTCCTGCATCACGATAAACCTGCAGACACACACAGAGGGGAATGGGGGGAGGGGGTGTTAACATTCGGCTTTTACACGCGCAAAAATGGTAGCAGAAAAGGGGCGAATAATACAAAATGGAATTAGCAGAACAACAGTGTTATACAATAATTCCCAGGAAACACAACTTTATTGACAGTGAGGAGTTACGATTATTTTGCTAAATAATAAAATCCATCACTTACCGTTGAGATACCAAACATAAAATCATCATCTTTACACAGGCACTCCAGGGCATTTTTATAGGTAACTCGGGAAGGGACTATGCAATCCCACGAGAGGCCACGCTCAGCTACATAGTACCTACGGATACATTTTTAATAAACCCTGTTGGTGGACCTCATACCCACGACCAGCTGCTCTGGCGTGACCGTTAAAGTGAGATGTAGCGACGTGACCTTATCCTACCGTCATTTTTTTCAATGAGGCGGGGCACGCCAGAATACCTGTCAAAAATACCTGTCCCAACCAGACAAAATAGGGCGTTAATCAGGTTCACTGCGGCACAGCTGCCGTGAATGAGGGGCTGGCCGCGCCCCGCTCGGTGAAGGATGGTGGGGCCAGCTGAGGGCTCAGACCGCACCCCGAGCGGTGACGGATGGCGGGGCCAGCTGAGGGGCTGGCCACCCCGAGCGGTAACGGATGGCGGGGCCAGCTGAGGGGCTGACCACCCCGGGCGGTGACGGATGGCGGGGCCAGCTGAGGGGCTGACCACCCCGGGCGGTGACGGATGGCGGGGCCAGCTGAGGGGCTGACCACCCCGGGCGGTAACGGATGGCGGGGCCAGCTGAGGGGCTGACCACCCCGGGCGGTGACGGATGGCGGGGCCAGCTGAGGGGCTGACCACCCCGGGCGGTGACGGATGGCGGGGCCAGCTGAGGGGCTGACCACCCCGGGCGGTAACGGATGGCGGGGCCAGCTGAGGGGCTGACCACCCCGGGCGGTGACGGATGGCGGGGCCAGCTGAGGGGCTGACCACCCCGGGCGGTAACGGATGGCGGGGCCAGCTGAGGGGCTGACCACCCCGGGCGGTGACGGATGGCGGGGCCAGCTGAGGGGCTGACCACCCCGGGCGGTGACGGATGGCGGGGCCAGCTGAGGGGCTGACCACCCCGGGCGGTAACGGATGGCGGGGCCAGCTGAGGGGCTGACCACCCCGGGCGGTGACGGATGGCGGGGCCAGCTGAGGGGCTGACCACCCCGGGCGGTGACGGATGGCGGGGCCAGCTGAGGGGCTGACCACCCCGGGCGGTGACGGATGGCGGGGCCAGCTGAGGGGCTGACCACCCCGGGCGGTGACGGATGGCGGGGCCAGCTGAGGGGCTGACCACCCCGGGCGGTAACGGATGGCGGGGCCAGGTGGGCCGCACGGCTAATAGCTCCGCACCGGTGGGGGCGATACATCACAGCGCGGCCGACACGTGCTTCAGCTATCGTCTCAACACGGGCCTACATGGTGTGGCTGTGGATTCATCACATCGTAGCCAACACGGGAGTCGGCCATCGTCTCACCACGGGACTACATGATGTCGAACTGCAAACTAACGTCTCATGGACGTGCCCCGTGCGGCGAATCCCACTAAATGGCAGCGACAGACTTTTACCAGACTTTGACCAAGCACAAGCGGATACAGCTCAGACCGTATCACCCAACTCTATCCTTATTAGTTATCTTGCATGATAAATTATCTAATCATCCAAAAGATCCAGCATATGACACATGCTGGACGACTTGTGACTGTTAAAAGACGATGATTTATGCGTTGTCCCGCTTCTAGTGCATTACTGCCTCCCATATCATAAGGCCCAAATTATCGGTGCTGGCAGGCTCAATAATTTCCAGTGGGCGATGGCGCATACAATCCCATCCGCCTGAACACCGCCGTCGTACAATGATGATATGTTCCACGAGTATTCCACCATTCAGCATCCCCTCGGGCCCTCCCAAACACTCAGCCACCGTGTCACTGCCGTCTAACGCAGGGACCGAGGGCGCCTTTTGCATCGACCGCGACAACACCGCCGCTGTCGCCCGACATTTATACGCCGCCGACGGCCTAACCGGCGACTGTCGGCGCCACAACTCGCCGGCCCAATCACAATCGACGTCCCTGCCGCCGCCGCCCAGCCACGGGGCAGCAATGACCCAATCCGCACGGCGCCGTTCCATTTCGGTTTTCATTTCTCGGCACACGGTCAAGGGCCGGCTCGGGGCTCGGTGGAGACGGGGCGGATTTGTCGGCGGGGTCGACCCACCTCAGGTCGAAGAAGTGCTCTGTCTCGGGTACTGAGTACCCATCTGGGGTCGAAGCGGCGGCACGTGTCAAGCAGTACTCCGCCTCAGCGGAGTAGATAGTGAGTACCGACCTGAGGTCAAATCGGCGGCAGAGGTCGAAGAGGTGCTCTGTCTCGAGTACTGAGTACTCACCTGAGGTCGAACCGACGGCAGAGGTCGAAGAGGTGCTCTGTCTCGAGTACTGAGTACTCACCTGAGGTCGAACCGGCGGCATAGGTCGAAGAGGTGCTCTGTCTCGGGTACTGAGAGTGAGTACCCACCTGAGGTCGAACCGGCGGCAGAGGTCGAAGAGGTGCTCCGTCTCGGCCTTGGACCAGCCGTCTGCCTGCAGATGACGCTGGTACTCCTGGTCCGTGAAAGACACCACGTCCACCTTCTGTGAATGGGAGACGCGGCACCGGAGCGCTGTCAGTAGACGCACATAACACACCACGCCACACAGCAGCGTCACGCCACACGGAGCAATACAACACGCCTGACCGGTGAGTGGTGATACATGAGGCACTGCTCACAGCAGCCTGCTGTATGGTTATGCGTGAATCGAAATTGCGACAAGTAATAGATCATACTACCCCATCCATTTTCGTAAATCGTAGGATGATTGGCCATCTTTCAGCGATTACAGGGACCATCACCATCTGCTAGGCATTTTAAGAGCTGCTATCGGGTGGGTCGTTCGGTCGGCCTCACCTCACCAGTCGACCCTGCCACTACTATCCCGTGCACTGCCCCTGTGGCACCAGGTAGCCGGTCTATTCCCCGCCCTGGCTCCCACCGCAGTGGTTACGACCCCCGCGGCGCCGCCCCACCTTGTTGAACTTGGCGAAGGCGTACTCCTTGTCTTCGTCGGCGACGCGCCGCCAGTGGTGCAGCACGGCGCCGTCTGACCGCGCCGGGTTCGTGAACGGCGTCCACCGCCACGGGCGCACCCGGCGCATCCCCAGCTTCGCCTTCGTCTGCTTGTAGCCCTTGTTGACTTTGCCGGACAACGAACAGGACAGGTTAGTTGCAGATGTATTGCACTCACGAATGAGAAGAAGCATACTTACGGTTTAATGGGAGCAAAAAGATTGCTCTATTTCAAAACAAGCAATGTCAGTAATACTTACAAAGTCATCCAAATCCAAACAGCTGCTTCTATAATCCCCTCGACAGTTATATTTCCCCATGCTAGCAGTCAGCCTCACAGACGCAGATGTACGAGCAAGAGCAGCCGATTCATCCTGCCGCTGTACGGCCGATGTACGAGAAAGGGCAGCCGATTCATCCTGCCGCTCTCCGGCCGTCTCACCATCCTCGGTGGGGAAGAGCGGCGGGTGCTCCTTGTTGTCCGAGTAGAGCAGTGCGTACAGCTCTCGGTTGATGCCCTCGGGCCGGCGGCTGCCGCGCGGCGCGCCCGGCCGTTTGGCCACCCGCTGCGGGCCGATTATCTTCTCCCGGTTGATCTCGGAGGAGGCCGCGCCGCCGCGGTCCACCTCGAGAATGTCCAGCACGTCCGACATGGCGGCGCCGACTCAGAGCTCACTGCACAGGGACGACTGGCTGGTCTGCGAGGGGCGGGGGCAGATGGGTCAGACCGGACACAACTGACTGATCTGTGAGGGGCAGGGGCAACTAGCTCAGAGATATGGTCATATGCCACACATCAGTCACAAGGTGAAATGTATAGGCACTTCTTTTGAATATGATTATTCTATTCTGGCACAGTCCACTGCGTACAAATCAAGTAGGTAAATATGTTTGATAAACAGTAAAATTTACGCATTATCCTAAATGGAAAGTTTCATCAGATCATATCTGAACAAGGCTTGATGGACATCCACTGACCAACTTGAACAACCAATGATTGGCAGGTTTCAAAACCCATACTTCTGAAGCCTGGAAACCTATTCTCAGGAACCTCAGCCTGATGTGGGAGTTATTCATGAAAATACAAATATATGTGGAACTCCAGAGGCTTCTCATTCCAAGCATTTGATTACCAAATTTGTATATGACCTTGTTTTGAACTTTGATACAATATTTGTTTTATATCATGTGAACACATCATTTGCCAGTGAAGTGGGACCAGACTGGAAAACATCCATACACTACGCCGGACGCCCGTGAGACCCCCATGCATGGCGCAAGCGATTTTGCGCTGAAATTTCTGCATGATTTGCATTGAAGGTTGGGTACCTATTCGTGCCAAAAATAAGCCACTTTTACATCCAGCGCAGGTGCATTCTACCGATTAGGGCTATATCATGGATTAGGTATTCCATAATACTTCATCCATGGCTATATCAACCAGAGCGTTCTGGGGCCTTGGATGCTCTCTCATGTTTGAGCATCTGAATAAGTTGACGTTTCCATGGAAACCCAATGACCAATGCCAAAATATGCGCAGCACACTGTAGTGTCGTGCCGTGAAACAATGCCCGGGTCAAAGTTCCCGGGACACAAAAATTGGTGGTATGTGCCAGGCTAGCAGTCGCCAGAGAGGACCAATCAGCGGAGCAGCACGTGTTCCGGCACATCAGCCTCTTCTCAGCACACGGCGCAGAGCGCCGCAGGGCACCATTTATCTGGCACTGCTGGCACGCCGCGGAGGGGAGACGGCCGATTCGGTGCATGTACTGGACTGAGCGGCCCAGTGGTCTGCCCTCAACTGGACGTGCACCAAAACTGCGTCCTCTCGATCCTCCCCAGGGATAGGGAGCAGTGGCATGCTCCTGAAGAGTAGCTTAAATGGTGGCTCAGGTCAGTTGTCATGCCACTGCGCATGTAGACATTGTAGAGGCCTCTCTTGGGCCTCTTCTGGGTGGCCGCTCCTCCACTGAGTAAACTTAGCAGCTCGCGAGTAGGAGCATGAGACGACTGCCCCAGCAGGACGAACCAAAGCTGCTGCTAGATTGACCAGCGTGTCTAAAAATTTGGTGACCGCCATTCACCAAAAAATTATGCGGCTACCCTGCTCCAAATAATTCAGCGACCGTCATGCGCTATAGTTGGCTGAATTCAGGGCATGCAAAGTTATGCCGGGCCGGACGTGCGCTTAAATTTCGGCGCATGCGAAGTTACACCGGATGTGCGCTGACATTTTTGCATCAGGCCACTACACTGGACATATTTGGCATAACATGTATTTTTTCCAATCTGGCCGCCAGCCTAGAACACATAGCTCCGCCAATTTTTATGGCCCCGGCCCATGGAACTTCCAGCTCCGGCCTTGTTTCACGGCACACAACGCAACAGTGCACTAAGCGTATTGAGGTATTGGGTTTCCATGGGAAAAACTTATTCATACGCTCAAACCAATCTCAGTAGGTGGAACTATGGTCATGAGTACCCAAATATAGGAACGTTCCCATTTTTGGGAACGGAGTTCCCAAATATGGGAACGGGCGTTCCCATTTATGGGAACGGAAGGTAATTTTTCGGCCGTTCGCCCACTAAAACTCATTAGTACATCACGTTTCAAAAAAGTGCACGCTTATTTAAGTATCTACTAAGTCTCTATAAAATTATCTTTAATCTGACCGTTGCACAAGGAAATTGACCGTCGAATGATATTTTTAATGATTTTTTGAGGTGACGGAATGGTGAAAACATGGGTTATACTACATTTAGCTTGCAATTTTAAGGAAAATGAAGCGTTTTTTACATTTTGAGGTCAAGTATAATAATTTTCGCCTGGTTATGAAGTTTCATACTAGCGACACCACATGCTGACATATGCAAGCGAACACGCGGACAGTCCGGGGGTAATATTGGTGACATTTGGTGTCGGGGCGCACGACCGCATGGAACGTCAGTGATTTTACCGAACTACTGTTGTAAACTCAGTTTCAGTGGTTTAAAATTATTCAGCTGTATTTTATCATCCCAGAAAGACACATTTTATTTGGATGCTAGCTGTTTAGAGTTGTTTTATAAGGAGCGTCATGAGCGTGGTTTTTGTCTTCCGTGTTTCTAAGCGTGATCGTTTTGGGGGAATTTCTCTTATATAGGTCGCTCTGTGTGGCTTATTTATAATTTTTATGCTGATTTCGATCATTCCTCGTGCCCATCCTACCAGGCCTTTTGCCACTTACACTCATCAAGAAAGGAAAAAAAACTAGATTTTCATTGGGACTAGGTGTTTTGAGGGTGGAACATATTCAGCGTTCCCATTTTTGAATACTTCCTTGGCTCGTCAACTATCGGTGATAAACAGACAGGTGCTTGACATGTCTCCACCCTCGGCGCGGATGGTGGATATAGGTATGGAAGACCTTGTTGAACATCGCTGAGCGTTGTGAATTACGTAATCCTGCAGAGGGGGGCGTGCCCGCTGCGAGATCGACGGGAATAAAAGCGCAGAAGACCGGGCGAAACATGCGATGGTCTTGCCGGAAAGGTCATCTGATGATTGTTGCGTTAAAGGAAATAGTTCACTTTCACGAAATTATATTTTTTGCAATGGATTTATGATTTTTTATGTTCAAAATGATCAGCAAAGAAAATAAACCTTTATATAACAAAATATTATTTTCTATATTTTTGATATAGGAAGAACTTTTCAGTTTCTGTAAGGCACACGCGATCCAGTATGAAAAGAGCATGGGTCCCGAAAATTCTTCAGAAGCTAGAGAAATTATCGCGGCCACCGGCATTTGGGCGATCTGCTCATGCTTTTGTTACTGGAGCGCCTCTGAAGAATTTTCTGAATAATTTTCTTTTGTTACTGGAGCGTTTCTGAAGAATTTTCGGGACCCATGCTCGTTTCATACTGGATGCAAATATATGCAAGGCACCTTTTTCGGGACGAGAAATAGAATATCTTTGCCTAGGGTGATCGTTGGGCTGTAAAAGCTCCTGATTTATGCTCGTCTCAGCCCAAGCTACGGAACTGCTATTCCAGTTAAAAACCCATGTTAAAATGTGAACTATTTCCTTTAACAATAATTTGCGGCGTTGGACGTGATGCTTGTTAATGAAAAGAGCCCCTGAAAGGCGTCAGTGAAATCGTTCCCAATTTTGGGTACGCCGTTCCCATAATAAGGAACGCTTGCAGCGCCAGTGTACGAGAGCGTTCCCAAATTTGGGCTCGCGGCCCGGATGATGGACTGCTTTAGAAATAGGGGAACGATTTGAAACTACGATGGGCCTTACAATATCAAACTCTTTCCTAACAATATTGAGACAAATATCAGGCGGTTCACGATCGTTTTAGATTTTTTGGACGTCATTTAACGTTTCTTTTTCTTGTTTTAAATAATGCCTACATGGCGTTCCCATATTTGGGTTTATCGTTCCCAAACATGGGAACGAAAATGCGTTCCCGAAAATGGGTACGCTTGACCATAGTTCCGCCCAGGTTCCGCCTACTGATCTGGGACAAAGCAAAAGGAGGTTTTGGTTTGGTTTTGGTAGATCAGTTTCACTTTACCGAAACAACCAGGTTCTTGATTTGACTTGTGACTAATCGAATCAGGGTATATAGAACAACGAATCGAGTGATTTACATAGAATCTATCGCACAGAAAACCTTCGACTTGGAACTTGTGAAAAATATACAAACGCGTCCGATCTACCTCACGTATATGCAACAAATGTCAATCTGGTAGCACAAATAACGTTATTTTTCCTCTATTCTCTCTCTGCGTATTGAAGTTTTCCTTGAAATTTCAACGATTTGATTTTTAAGTTAATCTAAAAAGCAACAACGTTGATTGATTGAAGGACCTATGTTGTATAATTTATGAAAAAATGAGTAAACCAATATAATTTCATAAAAATTATCAAAAACAGCCTTAAGCTTTTTAAAATACTTCAATAATTATGAAGTAATTTCGCATATGGTAGTAATGACCTTGAAATTCAGCGACAAATAATACGCACCTGTTACATTAATATGCACGTTGAAATGCAGCATGTGGAAAACGAAAGGTTGTGAATGAGGTGAATGAGCTGTTGCAGTTGTGAAACTGGGTAAGTTTGGTAAGTTTTAGCGCAAGATATAGCGTTTTTCAGCGGTAGAGAAAGCTTGGCAATAGTTCTCTACCCATAAACATTGCTCATAGTACCTACCCCTGCTGTCTATCAGCATGCCCCACTTACTACTTGACTTGTAAGTTGTACTTCATGTTTGCAATGTGTGACCTGCGACAACAACAATAGGTACTGATACAGAAGTTTGTCAATTATTTTGTTTGAACAGTTTTGATTAGGGCACGCATGATGAAACCTTATAAATTGCTTGGTCAGTTATGCAAGTAACAAAGTCAACACCAACAGCACACTGTCGGTGGATGGTGGTCGTGGTGGTCAAAACATGATTGTCAAATGGTCATGGGACTTTTACGTGGACAACTTGACTGAAGTGTCTCGCAACTCACAGCCAGTGCATGTCAGGATCAGCTGAAAACTGATGCCTTCCCTGCTGAGCTACACAGTACCTAGCAGGCAGACATTTTAAAAAGCATCTGATTCTGCTGTAAAATGGAAAACTAGAATGCAAAAAAGATACTTGTGAAGCTAGTACCTAGTCTTTCTGCTTCATTTCAGGCCACATTACAGCATCATGCTTGATTCATGTCAATAAAAGTCATGGAAAGTTTATTGATTTCAGTAGGCTACACATATTTCTCCAACAGAACATTCCTTCAATGTTATGTACCACTAAGAGACAAGAGTTGGCCACACCTTACCCCTCTGCCCTGCCCTCTCTTTTCTTACCTTCCTTCTGTTTTCCTCTCCCCTCCCTCTAAATATCTCCTTCTTTCGATCTTGGTCTCTCTTTTCCCCCTGTCTCTCTTCCTCTTCCTTTTTCCTTCTCTCCCTCATTTCCTCTATTCATCTCTTTTCTTTCTCTTTCTTTCCCTTCTTTCACTCTCCGTATCCCTTTCTTTCTTTGTCTCTCTCCCTCTATCCAACTTTCCACTCTTTCTCTCCCTCTCTATATCCCACTTCCCTTCTCTCTCTTTCTCCCTGTTAATGTATTTATCTCTCCCTCTCCCTCCCTCTCTCCATCCGCACCGGCCGCTGGTTCTCATGCCGCCCCCGCTCGACCCCGATTCGTCACGGTCACGGTGTGAGTGCCAGTCACGTGACGTGGTCACTCTGCCTCCCTACCGACAGACGGCGGGTGTCGGACCGGACCGCTGTGCCGCCGGGACCGCTGTGCCGCCGGGACTGCTGTGCCGCCGCTGCCGCTACCCCCGGACTGACGGAGTGACGCACCCGCCGCCGCCGCTGACAGCGGTCACACGCAGACATGCAGTCGGATGACGTGAGTACTGGCAGTGTTGTCCATAAAATCCATCGGGGCGGTGGTACAGCATTCTGAGATTCGGTACAAATCACAATGGAGGAAGTGTGAACTGTGCGGGATTGGTAAATGGTGGCCCAATGACCTGTGTGACCCGGGGACCTAGGTATCTTTGACCCAAGTGATTTATGCGACGCTGCTGACCTTTGAGTGGTCCATGGTTACGTGTGTGACCTGGCGACCTATGTGTGGCCCAGGTGGCCTTTACACAACCGACGGTTACTGGCCATGTGGGACGCTGGGCTCCCCACCCCCAGGTGACGCCCGACTGGTGATTCCCCTCTATCGGTAGGTAATTCCCGTAACGTGTGTTTGTTACTGTACGTTTGTTTCCGGATATGAACGCATGGTTTTCCTGACGGGCCCTGGGAGCATCTGTGTCGAATGGTTTTGTCATTTGATGCAGCCTAGTGTACAGGGTGTCTCAAAAGTTCGTTCACAGGTACCAGCCATGCTTTTTTGTCAATAATTCTGAATCAACAAGAAATTAACAGTCGAAATTTTGCATGGGCATTGGTGACAACCTTCCTCAAGCAGTCTCATTGTTTTCAAGTGCATTCGACCCTTCATGAGCTCACAAAAAGGGTTCACCTCTGACCATGGGTCAGGCACGAAAATGTAGGTTGCAAAGTCGGGTATGTTGTGAAACTCTCTGTTTCAGGAGTAATGGGAATGGTTAAGTCGGAAATGACACATGGCTAAGTGTCGGCGAGGATGAGTGCAACATGATGATTATCTCATAAAAACGGTGGCTAAAATTTTTGAAGGACGAAACCATGCGAGACTAACGGCGTTTTGAACGACCCTCGCACGACAGCAGACTCGTGTTCCGGAAAGCAGCTGAAAATGCGGTCATAACTATTGAAAACTGGCAAGAAGGTCACAGACAGAGGTTACCCATTTTCAAAAAGTGCAGGTCATCGTAAAATAAAGACAAATTATAATTTAAAATTGTTTATAATATCTATAACGCTAATTTTTGGGGACAATAACACAAAAATCGTCAATGCCAAGGACACCTGACCCTCCAAAAGTGTCAGTTATTGTAAAATTTTATCTAACGAAGTTTCAAGAGGCAGATCTGCAGCGAATAATTTTCTTTTAAACACAAAATCCCGATAAAACCACACGATGGACAGGTTTGGGCCGTTTACAAAGCAGAACATCTCCCGAGGAAAACACTCCGCAACCGAGCGAAGGTCTTGGCATGGGGAATGACGAGCGCTTGGAATTTGCAAAATTTGCACAATGTGTCTGAGAAACAGACGTCCGACACATTCTGCTACCATATGATGCGAAAAATTTACTCCTGGTACTTCCCGTTTGTTCAGGACTGGGGTCGTTTTGAAAAGGAAAATGGCGCTTGGGATGTCGGCGCCAGTCATTCATGAAGGAGTTAGCGCCAGAGAATGCCTACAAAATACTCAAGAATGGTGTCGATGCAAGCTGTCGGCTTTCAGGGAAAATCAGATGTTGCCGGGGAGCTAGTCAAAACTAAATCCGACGCAGAAACTGCAGGGGATTCCCCTGCAAGAGCTTGAAAGCTGGTAACCTTTTATCAGCCTCCGGCAGCTGACGGAGCAACAAAAATCGGTATGGGCAAATATTTTTTGGAGATACAGCAAAGGGGTTGGTTTCCAACCTTCTTAATCAGTTGTCAAAGTATGCATATTTGTCTAGTGTACACACAGACACCAAAACCTTATAGTTTTGGCCGGTTCTTATATGCTTTATTGGCATGGGAAATGTGTGAACGAACTTTTGAGACACCCTGTAGTGTAGACTGTTTTGTTGAGTGTCAGTGCTGGTGTCGTATATTGTGTCATTTGTCGTAGCGTGATGTTATTTATGACGTGTGTCGTGGCTGTGAGCCTGTGTCACCCACGATGTTTTGTTTGTCGTGACTTAGTGTCACGTATCGCGTCACATACCGTGAGGTGACGTCACCTGTAGTCGTGATGCAGTGTCACTGTGGTCTGGCTGCGGGGAGGGAGCGTGACTCGCAGGTCTCCGAACGCTCCGGAGGGGGAGGGGGATAGGGAGAGGAAGGGAACGGGACGGGAACAGGTTCAAGCACGACGCTGACTGGCACAGCCTTAACCAGCAGTCTTCACAGCACGATTCTAGCCCAGCTTCCGCGCACATTTATGTCGTCATTACCTATGTCCGGCAGGGGGGGGGGGGGGGGGCAATCTGCAGAACTTTATAACGTAGTCTCGCTGTCCTTCGTTGGCCGTAGGTACACGCTCGTTTGCAGCGTTCATTTATCATCCAACCTGCATAGATTCCTCGGAAGTGTTTATGGTTCTAAAATGATTAGCCATTTTCGCATTCTGCAATGTGCATTTCATAGTCGCTTTTATTTATTACTTTTATTTATTATATTATCCACACGGTTAACCTGTATTGCGTGCAGTAGCACCTTGATGTGGTATGACTTTGTTGAGGTGCGAGCCCGGTATTATATTATTCTCTTCCCGCTTCGGCTGTTGTGTTTTGCTCGGCGCTGTTATCGGAGAGTCGCTGACACATTTCTCCCGCCGCAGGTGATCTGGTCCATCATCAACAAGTCGTTCTGCTCCTTCAAAGTCAGGTCAGTTTGCGCAGACCACCATAGAGTATTCATCTGACTCGTCTCCACCCCCTGCCCCCTGCCCCCGCCCTCTCCCTGGTTCCTGTTGCCGAAGTGACATTCACTGTCCGTGCCTGCCCCGGGGCGACGTGCGCCGTCTGTTCTCTGTTGTCTTCTGTCTCCGCTCCTCTCCTGGGACCAGCTGTACGCCGTCCTTAGGTCAGCTCGCAGCTAATGAGTACCGGTCCCTTGGCTCGGGGGAGACGGGGGTCGACATTGTCCGGTGACGGAGACCGCGCAGAGGCTACTGGTTATACTGGAGAGACCAACAATGTTTACCAACGAATAACGACGCTGTTGATATATTGTTGTGTCGATGCTCACTTTTAATGACGTGCTTTATTCTTAATTGTTTCACTGGTACAGGCTGGCACATTGAGCCAAATGTATGCTCCTGTGCGGTTATCCGTCCCATCGGTCGTTATTTAGCCAGGTGATTCGTGTGCGTGTTTTCCCGTTGGCCCGCTGCCGTGTCTGACAGTGTGTGGCGGTTGTGTGTTGAACAGCACTCCGACGCAGAAGTTCTGCCGCAATGAGTACAACCTGACGGGCCTGTGCAGCCGGGCGTCGTGCCCGCTGGCCAACAGTCAGTACGCCACCATACGAGAGGAGAATGGCGTGTGCT